CTCAAGTTTTTCGAGTGACAAAGTGTCAGCAATCGATTCAAACCCCATGTCTTTGGCTTGAGTATTGTACGAACAATTGTGAGTTAAAGGGGCCATGTCCTCGAACACACGGCCATTACCAACGATATGTTCGCCTTCGACCGAAATTTTTGTAGTTGTTTGGAATAAACTGTCCGAGGTCGTATTTGTTTGCTTAATAACGCAATTTGTGTCTAATACGCTCACTAGAAATTCCTTAAAAGATTTGCCTTTCTTTCCATTGAAAGTCAAAGAGTTTTGTTTGCCCGGGTACCAAGTCATAATAAAATCAGAGCTTAAGTTTATAAACTGGTTGTATCCGTGAAAGTCACACTCTTTAGCGAGTCGTCGAAGTTCGAGTTCGTATTGAGCAATAGATTGATAATCTAAACCTCGCGTGCAATCTCGTGTTTTTCGCCACGTATACATGCTCAATTTTCGCTATAAGCTTCTTGTATTCGTCCAAGTCGCCTTCTGATTCAGCTCCGTTCTCGTCTATCGAAAGGATTTTGTCGCCACCATGAACTAACAACGCTGCTTTCATATCGTCTGGCTTTACGATGTCGAAATATTTCATTTGAATCTCGAGTCTTCGTCTCCACAATTGCCATTTGCATGTGGTTTCTAATCATGTCTTCGTCTGGCTCGAATTCTTCGATTTTTAACGCCTTTCTCGATTTAGGAGGCATACTAACTTTGTTTATTCCTCGTCGCCAATGTTATAAACTCAAATATCGGTTTCACTAAATTGTATTTTTGACACGTACTTTACCGACTACATACACAGTATCATTATACATAAGCCTGAAATAACGTTCTATTTTTATGGTTTTTTACTTTATTAACATAACAATATACTGGATAATCTAACTAATAATACGCTGCATAATCAGCTACATAACTTAGTAAGTTCCAACTGAATGAGTTCTTAATGAGTTCTTAATGAGTTCTTAATATTATAAAACGTTCATAATATTCTCACAACAAAAATTACCGACCAATATCAGTTCTAACTTGTTTTTCCAAATTGCTAGAAAAACTTGTGGTCAAAAGACTAACACAATTTATTGATAAAAACAATATATTATCAAAACATCAGTATGGTTTTAGACAAAACAGATCAACAGAACATGCTATAATTGACTTCGTTGATAAAATCACTACATCGATTGATCATGCAAGGGAAATTCTCTGTTGGTATTTTCCTTGACCTCTCAAAGGCATTTGACACAATTAATCACAAGATTCTGATAAGGAAATTGGAACATTACGGAATACGAGGAGTAGCCAAAAAATGGTTCGAAAATTATCTGTATAGTAGAAAACAGTTGGTAAAATATAACGGCGTTGAATCTAAAGAAATGACTATCACAAGCGGTGTCCCGCAGGGATCAGTATTGGGTCCTATATTGTTTCTTTTATATATAAATGATATTCAGTATTGCAGTGAATTGGTTTCAATTATATTATTTGCCGATGACACAAATATACTGTACAGCGATACTTGCCTTAAAACTTTAAATGAAATTCTTCAAATTGAAATGAATAAAATTGCAAATTGGTTGAACGTTAATAAATTATCTCTAAATACTACGAAAACCAAACTCATTCTTTTTAGATCAAGAAATAAAAAATCTAAACATGATTTAAAGATTTCAATAAATAAAGAAAATATAAAACAAGTAAAAAACATTACTTTTTTAGGAATTGTTATTGACGAATTTTTAACATGGCGTGATCACATAGATCTGATCTCCAAGAAAATTATCAAATGTGCAGCTATTATTTCCAGGATTCGACATTTTACAAACCTAAACTCCCTAAAACTGATCTATTTTGCATTAGTCTATCCATATCTTACTTATGGCAACCTGATTTGGGGTAATGCCTACAAATCTCACATTCAAAAATTGGTAAATATTCAAAAAAAGATAGTAAGATTAATGATTTTCAAATCATATTGTGACCATACTGAACCAATTTTTAATGATTTAAAAATATTAAACTTGTACAAATTAAATGAATACTTAACAAGTTCATTTATGTTCCGATATTTTCATCTGCATAATCTTCCAGAAATTTTTACCAATTATTTTATGACCAACAAAGATATCCATAATTATAACACAAGAAATGCATCTTCGCTTCACAAAAAATATAATAGAGCAATACAATACAATACAATACAACTTTATTTGAATAATACACATGACAAATACAACATTCAAATCCTGCAATAGCAAGCTAATCGCGGCAGGAAATGAATCTAATTAAATAATATTATATATATACAACTGATTTATATTGAGAAGAAGTAAAATGAATTATTTACAGAACGAGAGTTTAGATTCCGATTGGCTATGATAATTTTTTAAATTATAGAACAAATTATAACAAACACACGCTCGCTAACAAAGGAATTGATGTGTGGAATAATCTTCCTTTGCAATATAAAGAAATTAGATCTTTTCCAATATTCAAAACGGCAATGAAAAAGTATTTTCTTCATTCTTAATTCAACAAATAGAATTCTCGACAGAATTAAATTGTTGTAATATAATCTAATATCCTATCTTGCAGTTTCCTTATAAAACCTAATGACCCAAGCATGCATTGTTTCATCTAAGCATTGTTTCGCCTACACGCATTCCGCACATTCTTTCGATAGCATAAAAGCAACCTACAATTTCGAAATTATTCACCACGCAAATCTCGAAAATATGTTGACAACCTCTACACCCATTAGCAGCGGCGGCACGAACAAAACAAAAGAGGTTAGTAATTCAAATCCTCACATTAATCCCGTTGTTGTTAGGACCGCTAACGATGCATGCTTCACACCAATAAAAGTACCGGATAACACAGAAACTTTTATGGCCATAGATCAGTCATGCGAGAAAACGTTACACCATGATTTGGTGCCATTGCCAAAATCCATCAATCACTCACAAGAGGAATTAACCCTGACAAAGGTAGTTTTCCCTGTTAGGAACAATAGTGTACAGTCGAAAATAGGCGAGCTTTCCCATACGGGAAGCCGTACAAATCCTATTCAAAAAGAACAAAGCTGTCATTATAATGTTCCTGGTAGGCAATCTTGCTCTAGTTATTTACATGATCGTGGTCAACAATTTCGAAGCATTCCAGTACGTATCACTCACCGTCCACTGCCAGTGAACCCAGAGAAAGTAAATAAACATAGACGTGCGTACCGGAGTCAGGTTTTTCGACATCGACATCAGACGGACTGGCTCAGGCATCTGGAGCTGGTCCGCAAAGTAATTCGGTCATAAACTGTTTCTATTCTAACCTAATTGTTGTGCCTACGGTCCCTTCTACTTCTAAATGTGAACTTACAAACTTATTTGATTTTTCCCTTCTTAATGCCAGATCGGTTAGAAACAAGACTATGATTATTAAAGATTTTGTTGTGGATAAAGATACTGATATTCTTGCTTTGACGGAAACTTGGCTCCCTCCAAGTGGGAACGATTTGATTATTGGGGATCTATGCCCAACAGGTTATAGTTTTCTGCATACACCGAGACATGGATCAATCGGTGGGGGCGTTGGTCTCTTATTCAAGGAAAGTCTTAATATTAAGCGTAATGTACAGGAGGTATTTAGGTCATTTGAATACCTTGACAGTTCTTTTTTGAACTTTCTACATATTAGAATTATTGTTGTATATCGGCCGCCTCCTTCATCGGCTAACTCATTGACATCTACTCTATTCTTTGAAGAGTTCTCATCCTTTTTGGAAGGAATTATTGTATCACCCGGGCAACTCTTGATAGCTGGAGATTTCAATTTTCATCTGGACAATCCTAATGACCCTCTTACCAAACGGTTCGTGGATCTTCTCGCTTCCTTTGATTTGAAGCAGTACATTTCTGGATCAACACATGCAAGTGGTCACACACTGGATTTAATTATAACGCGATCTGAAGAAAACATTGTTAACCATTACAACATCTTCGATCCTCTGATTTCTGATCATTCAGTTGTGCATTTACAACTATTGATTAGGAAACCGAAGTTTGTGAAGAAACATTTGCTTCTTCGTAATTTGCGGGCGGTTAATATTCATAAATTCAAAACGGATGTACTAAATTCTTTTCTTCTTAAGAATTTTACGACTATGGATTTGGTATCATTGGTGAATGAGTATGATTGTCTTCATACTATCTTAGATAACCATGCACCGATTAAATCCCGGGAAATTACATTGCGCCATAAGGCACCCTGGTATACTAACGAAATCAATGATAAGAAACGAATTCGGAGACAACTTGAGAGAAAATGGCATATAACAAGGACGAATGCTGATTGAAATCGCTATAAACAACAATGTTATGCTGTAAATAAACTTATCGACTCCTCAAAATCGGCTTACTATACCGACTTAATTAATAATGGATCATCTGATCAAAAAACCCTTTTCAAGACTGTAAGCAATTTGCTGCATACAAAT